ATGTTACTAACACCTGGAGAACCTGGCTCAAGGCCTACGGAGGAGGATTTGACCAGATATCAGATCGTTGTTCTAAAAGGAAAACTGATAACACTTGTAATATTGTCTGTTCTTGTCAGAGGTGACTGAGTTTATGTTTATTTATGTTTATGTTTATTCATTTAGCAGACGCTTTTATCCAAAGCGACTTACAATTTATAACCTGTAGGACATGTTGTGATCTGTGGGGGAAACCGAAGTACCCGGAGGAAACCCACGCATGCATGGGGAGAACACACAACTCCACGCAGAAAAGCTGCAGCCGAGTTTCGAACCTGCAACCTTCGTGCTGCGAGGCAACAGGGCTAACCACTGCGCCACCGTGCAGCCCAAGAAGAGAGAAACTTAGTGAGAGTGAGCTGAAGGCTCTGATACAGCCTCTAGACTCTCCTGATCCTCCCTAATGAAGATCCACAGGATGTGCTGCTCTCACCGAGCCTTCCCAGGCTGGAGGGTTTCCTACCGGTGAAATACGTTTTCTCACCATCTCACAGATTTCAGTCCGCTACTGTGAATGGCTTTGTGCTTTAGCTACACAAAACCAGATCCAACTAAATAACTCCTGGGGGGCGACTGTAGATGTACAGAGACTCGGAGATGCGGTAGAGAGAAAGTCCATGCAGTGGTGAGTCTAGTCACAGAGAAACACTTTAAACACCTCAGCAGAATAAAAATGCTGCAAAACGAACCTAACGAAGAAAAAAGGATGAACTTCTACGAGGTCAAGTATTTGATCTCATTTATAAAACATAACATATCTGTAAACATAAACAGAGGAAAGCCGTCTACCTTAAGTTTGGAGTTTGCATTGAGCATGATGTACTTAATGGAGCCCTGGACATTTTCCGTCCAGCTGGCCAACCATGTCACCGTGTTGTCATGCCGTACTTCCTTCCAGGCGGTGACCAGCAGGGGGTACAGGATGCGGGAATCTCTGCCAGAGAGGAAAATGTCAGAGGAGCCATGAACAGAGCGGCGTTCCCTGGAGGTGTGCAGCATCACTGCAGGGGCCCGGATAATTACGGAGAATAGATGAACTCAAACTGCTGAATAAATCCAACTTCCTCTGAGAAAAGAAAAGAAAAACTGCACTTATTTCACTAAAACCTACATTATTTTACTAGATGCTTCCTAAAGCGTTGCTGAAGCTCATTAAACTCAAACTGAGATGCGGGTGGAAGCAAGGGCGTAGGAAAGAGTTTAATATTGGGGGGACACACATTTTGGAAATCTACCAAATCTGTTGTAGGTCAATAAGTAGGTCAACCTCACTGAAAAAAATGCATTTAATGATTATTTCTGATTCTAACGCGTCGCTGAGTGTTTCATGCAGGCTGAACATGAACATAGTCTCCAACCGCTATCTCCTGCATTAGCTTCTGAAAGAAAATCTGATAGACGGTGAAAACTCTAGGATTAGAAAGCCTGACAGATGAGACTCTGGTGTAAGGCAAAGCCCAGAAAGACAAGAAAATGACTTTTATAGCCCAGTTCACTAACATTCTGGGGTTTTTTGATCAGGGACCCATGAGCCAGCCAGAAGGGGAGGAGACTTGGCTCCCCGTTAGCCAGATCCAGGTGATTACTGGCCAACATGGACGTTTTAATTATAAAAAAGCTGTTTATGTCAGTACTGTTTTATTTTTATTTAATAGTATGAATGTAGGATATATTATCTTATTCATATGGGTAGAGATGTGTAAACAGATTTAATACAAGACTAAAGGCTGTGAATATTCAGTCTGACTCATCAGAATATTTTAAACTACACCAGCCAACAATGCTGACCAACAAATCAGAATAATCTGTTTGCTTCTGACAGAATGAAAAAAGAAATAATTCACTTACAACAGCTGGAACTACGTTATTATTCAGACGGACAAAAGAAAAAACTGTGGCCAAAACTGCAGTCTAGATGCACCAGAAGCAGAGTTTAACACTTATTTTTCTAATATTTCTAAGGAAGCATTTATTTATTCTGAAGCCGTGCTGCCCAGCCCTGCTTGTAATGGGATTACATAAATGTAACTGTGTTCACTTATTATCACATCCAAATCTTCCTCTCATCAGCCACCTAAAACCATCTCACTCTTCACTGTAGCACCTACCTGCACCTCAGCAGGTCTGGCTCTGCCTGTCTCACCCTCAGCAGGACTGGCTCTCCCTGTCTCACCCTCAGCAGGTCTGGCTCTCCCCGTCTCACCCTCAGCAGGTCTGGCTCTCCCTGTCTCACCCTCAACTGGTTCCTGCTGAACTTCCTCTGATCTCTAATATAAAAACAGTGGACATTACTGTTGGAGGACTAGTGCAATATTAAAATCATGGTGGTTATAGTATTATTTAGTCGCGTTCACTTGTTATCATGCTCGAATCTTCCTCTCATCATCAATCATCTAAAATCTCACTCCACTGTAGCACCTACCTGCACCTCAGCTGGTCTGGCGCTCCCAGTCTCACCCTCAGCAGGTCTGGTGCTCCCTGTCTCACCCTCAGCAGGTCTGGCGCTCCCAGTCTCACCCTCAGCAGGTCTGGTGCTCCCTGTCTCACCCTCAGCAGGTCTGGCGCTCCCAGTCTCACCCTCAGCTGGTCTGGCGCTCCCAGTCTCACCCTCAGCAGGTCTGGCGCTCCCAGTCTCACCCTCAGCAGGTCTGGTGCTCCCTGTCTCACCCTCAGCAGGTCTGGCGCTCCCAGTCTCACCCTCAGCAGGTCTGGTGCTCCCTGTCTCACCCTCAGCTGGTCTGGCTCTCCCAGTCTCACCCTCAGCTGGTCTGGCTCTCCCAGTCTCACCCTCAGCAGGTCTGGCGCTCCCAGTCTCACCCTCAGCTGGTCTGGCGCTCCCAGTCTCACCCTCAGCAGGTCTGGCGCTCCCAGTCTCACCCTCAGCTGGTCTGGCGCTCCCAGTCTCACCCTCAGCTGGTCTGGCTCTCCCAGTCTCACCCTCAGCAGGTCTGGCGCTCCCAGTCTCACCCTCAGCTGGTCTGGCTCTCCCTGTCTCACCCTCAGCTGGTCTGGCTCTCCCAGTCTCACCCTCAGCTGGTCTGGCTCTCCCAGTCTCACCCTCAGCTGGTCTGGCTCTCCCAGTCTCACCCTCAGCTGGTCTGGCTCTCCCAGTCTCACCCTCAGCAGGTCTGGCTCTCCCAGTCTCACCCTCAGCAGGTCTGGCGCTGCCTGTCTCACCCTCAGCAGGTCTGGCGCTGCCTGTCTCACCCTCAGCAGGTCTGGCGCTGCCTGTCTCACCCTCAGCAGGTCTGGCGCTGCCTGTCTCACCCTCAGCAGGTCTGGCGCTGCCTGTCTCACCTTCATCATTTTCCTGCTGAACTTCCTCTGGTCTCTCATATGAAAAAAGTGACATGAATACGGTTTAAAAACAAAATGTGATGAGAATGTCACAAACAAGCAACAATCACATACAAACTCCATTTTTATGTGGAGATTCTACTTTACTTATTTCGTGTCAAATGGTTTTTGTCTGTTACTGTAAAATCGTGTCAAATTCGCCATTTTTTGTTGACTAGTAGTGTTGTTTAATGTTTAATGCTGCCTAGCAAGATGTTTCCGTTAGTCAGCCAGTCTAACGTTTGACCAGAAATACAATTATCCTCTTGGACTAAATTATTACCGACTCACATTTCCTTTCTTTCTCTTATTGCCCATGAGGAGAACTCGCTGAGCTGCTGCGGTCCCGGCTCCGACTCCCGCTTCCCTCAGCCAGCCTGTCTGACTCCCTGAGGGGAGGGGCTGTGTCGGTGAGAAGTCTGCGGTGTCTTTCAAAATAAAAGCTCACGAGTCTAATAATTTAAAATCTATTTTTTTCTTCTCCATGTTATTGGGGGGGAAAAAATGCGCGTTTGTCCAATATTGAAGGGGACACGTCCCCCCCATCCCCCCCGGTTCCTACGCCCTTGGGTGGAAGAACAACCAACCAGTCTCAGGTAATAACTTCATCAGCAGAACTTCTCACTTAGAGCGAACAGCCTCAGACAGACAGTGCTTCCATGTAAATCCCGCACACGTGCCTGGTTTTCTGGGACACTCAGACGTTTGTAAAAGCTGCTCTGAAACGGGGATTTAAGGCATTGTTTGTTTCGTGGAGCGGTCCTCCTCCTCACTTGCTGCAGTTGATGATGACATCCTCAGGTTGGACCCTTTTCTTCAGCATTCCCTGTTTGGGATGCTCTCCTCTTCCTCGGAACAGACCCGGAGGCTCGATCTTAAAGTTTCCAATTCGTTCTTTGTGCCGATCCAGCAGACAGTAGCCGTACTCATCCGTAATCTTCTGATTGGCTTCCTTTAAAGCCTGCAGCCGATATGAAAAGTACAGATAACGGTCACAAGAGCACTCGTTAGACACCAGCACACAGAGAGAGAGAGAGAGTACCTGTTTCTCTTCCTTGCTCATGTTCTTCCTCGCCTCCACTTTGGCTTTATGCAGGTTGTGGAGTTCTCCAAAGTCACACTTTTCAAGGTGTTGGATTAGGGATCTCTCCTCAGCGGTCATCTCCTGGACAGGAAAAGGACGTCTCACTGATTCATCTGAAAGCTTGCATCATGGACGTGAATACACACCTGTTCAAAGCAGCTACTGATGCTGGATAATGCTGGAAGTTCAATACAAGACAATTCCTTCACAGGAATTCTGTACTTTCCTGTGTGGAATATTCAAACCGGGAATCAGAGATCATATTCAGGTGGAGGTGACGGAAAACGAGCACAAATTCTGTTTGAAGGTTTTTCCCAGTGGAGCCCAGGGAGCAGATGAGTTTGACCGTATTTGTCTAATGTCAGAGTTTGGGATCACAGCGGTGACGGACACCTCCGGCACGTTTCTAATGCTGAAAACCTCGAGTAGATCCAGCTCAGGGTCAGGAGTTCACCCTGTAACCGAACGGGATGCCAGTTCACACCCAGGCTCTGTCGATGCCAGCCAACGTGTCCTTGGGCAAGACACTTCCCTGGGCTTGCCTGCTGGAGGTGGCCGAAGGGGCTCTCTCAGTGAGCCTCAGGGCAGCTGTAGCTTGGATGTAGCTCATCACCACCAGCCTGTGAATGGCTAGTGTAAAGCACTTTGGAGTCCTGACTCATAAAGGCGTTATACAAATGCAGCCATTTATCATTTGATGACCTTTGACCTTCAGGACAAAAGCACGACTATGTGAAACAAAGGTCAGTGATGGCCATCTTCTCGATGGGACCTGCATGTGAACATGTGGCATCACGTGACTTACAACGGTCTGCATGATTCGCTGTTACACGCCATCATTCTGCCATCGGTTACCTTTAATGACCTGAAAGTCAGAAGGAACGCGACTCACCCAAGTGGCCCAGGTGTGATTTATGGAGTAAAACAATTATCTGATTTTTGATCCTCAGAATGGCAAAAAAACAAACTATTTGAGTCACATATGAGCAGAAAAGGCGGATTTCCCAGCAGTGAGAAGGAAGGGTGTGATTCTGCTGACCAGACTGGCATCATCTGACCGTATCGACTCCACTCACAGCTACAGCAGCTGCCCGAGGCTAACCAATCAGACGCAAACTAGCTATCATTTAAGGAGGACTCGTCAGATAGACCATCCATCCGGAATATCAACAGTAAAACGTCACGAATCAAGTTGTTCTGAAGAGTCTTGATTCATCTCCTTATCTGCTAAATGGAAATGAGACGCAAAAACAAACATCTGTGCACGCACACACACACACACACACACACACACACACACACACACACACACACACACACACACACACACACACACACACACACACACACACACACACACACACACACACACACACACACACACACACACACACACACACACACACACACACACACACACACACACACACACACACACACACACACACACACACACACACACACACACGCCTCTGAATATGCCGAGTGTGTGGACAAGCACCAGTCAGCATGCCTAAGCATGAATGACACCAGACAGTGGGCGGGCACTGAGGGCAGTGGAGCGAGGAGGCTTTTCCCGCCTATAATAAAACAGAATAATTGGATTTGTTCATATGCAGGGAAGCTAGTTGTCTGGATTAGCATATCAATGCTTTCACATAAATCCTATTTTCAAGAGCATTGAGCACTAAGCAGCGCAAAATTAATTCTGCATGATATGCCTTGAGGCTTGGCGTATTGTGTCCTCTACAGCGAGGACATGGTGACAGACACCAACGAGCATGTCCATGTCACAGCCACACACTCATCCTGTACTTACACATGTATATCCTTCTCTCTGAAACAAACTCCGCTGGGATGGGACGCAGACAGTTAATAACTAGACTTGTGTGTTCTGACAGAACATTTCTGCAGACGCCTGAATATATGCGATGCTACTTATTCTGACTTGAATTTGGAGTCCACCGTGGATCAGCTGAGCCAAACACAAACGATTCATCTATAGTTAGGATTTACCTTCCTCCAGTCTTTAAAGAAGTTCTCCCGAAACACCTGCTTTGTTGTGTACTCATGGTCCAACATCTGAGCAAAGAAAAGCGCCACCTCCTCTGCAGCCAGGCTCAGTTTCACCTTCTTACCTGCACAAAAACAGAAAACCTGCATCTTACTGCGTTTTTACTTCGTTTGACAAGATGACACACTAACGGCCTCGGCTTTGTCAGTTCTTTACGGCCTTATTGTCATATCCCACGCTTATCAAGATGTCTCGTTCCCAATCCCACATAAGCCTTTGGAAGCTCGAGGTTTGATGAAGAGCCAGCATGCAGCACCTCCTTCCCAGCTCCTCCAGAGGGCCGCCCGACTAATCCGTGTATTTGTACAGGTACGTTCTAAGACAAGGACAGATATCTACATTCAAGCCCACTGCTACCGACGAGCTGCACAAACAAGTGCACGCACGCACGCACGCACGCACGCACGCACGCACAGGAATGAACAGATCAGACCAGCTCCCGTTAGACAGCACTGTGGTCAGACTGCTAACCCACGCAAAAACAATCAGTCATCAATCAGTGTTTCACCCAACACACGTCTGGCATCCTAAAGGTCCAACGGGCGTGTGTGTGTGTGTGTGTGTGTGTGTGTGTGTGTGTGTGTGTGTGTGTGTGTGTGTGACTGATTAAGGGTACTCTAACTATCCTAGACTCTATTTCTCTTTAAACAACTCGCGGCTAACTCTGCTAAACAAAAACATCCATCACGAATTAAAGGAAACATTCTTCTTTAGCTCTGTTTATGGATGGAAGTGAAAGCTGAAACTAGCTTTTCTTGAACTGCTGCAACAGAAACTGTTTCCTGTTTGATGGCGTTTCTCCTGAGATGAAAGGGTTGCATTGGGAACCGGAAAAGTTCCAGAACTCCCAGAACTAGTTAGGGAGCCAGTCCAGCCTACACACACCAACACTAACGTTTACTGACAAATGCCTTGCTTTCATTATTATGGTGTGTGAAGAGTGAGCAGTTTCATCACAGACCAACACGGCCAAACATGACCTGGATGTGAAAAACGTGAATTTCCTAAACCGTTTGTGTCGCTTTTAGGCCCTTTTGTAAAGAACCGACAACATTAAAAATACCATTTAGACCACGAGTGTCATATTTCATTTTACTGGAGACAAAAGCAACCGGCTGTCTGGGATGCCGTACTCGATACGCTGCCATCACGACCGAGCCGCTACTGACTGGGTCCAAGAGGAAAGTGGACATCGGTAATATTTACTGGAGACAAATTCCTTCATGTGAAGTCTGAACAAATACTTTTAGAGGACAATTAAGTATTTGTTAGAACGATACGGCCCATTTGTCATCGTTGTTAACGGGAGATTAAACACGTCTGCTGTCACGGTTGCTTACTGATCATTCCTAATGAAAAATATCCGACCAGAGGTTTTTAAAACCGTTAAAACTCCAACAATGGAGACTCCAAAATGGTCGGCTTTCAACCTTTTAGGAGAAACTTGAAAAAGGGAAAGAAAAGTAAAGTGAAGCGGACCATCAGCAGCTCTGATAAAAACCAGATTACGGAGGTCCAAGCCTCGTTTTCTCAGCTCAGCCAGCAGCGAGCTGCCGGGTGAACCCGGCACCAGGAACAGTTTCAAGCTACAGCAGCAGCAGACTCCACCTCTCATCCGAGACCTTCCTGACGTCCATAGGAGCTGAAGGGTGAATGGCATCGACTGGGCACAGCGGTGCATTCTGGGATTTGTGGTATTTTTACGGGTTTTAGAGCACGGTACCTCCATGGGCCTGTTTTAATACATTTACATACGTTTAGAGATGGTCGTGTCTGGTTTAGACCCCATGTTATCACAGGGTTAGGACCCAACCCTAACCCACCGTGGTCTAGAGGAGTCTACGTTAGTCCCTAGAGTCACAGATTACACGTTAGACCCACTGGTGTGAAACTCACATCACCAAGAGGCTGAACAGGAAAAGGAGGTGAAAATAAAGCGTATGTAAACTCTTTTTGCACCGAGTCGATTGTGATGAGACTTGTGACATAACAGACCATTGTAGTAGAAGCTAACGTCATCAGGAAGAGGCTGGTACTCGGGAGGGAAGTAGGGCCCGTTGTGTTCCAAGGACATCCATTTCACCCCATCTTCATACTTCTTCTCCTCCCACCTGACAGAAAGCAGCATGATGAAAAAGATGGTGGAGGTGCGTCGATGCAAGATGAAAAGGGCAGCGTTCTCTCACCATCTCCAACGATTCTGCTCCTCCTCCTCCTTCTTCTTCATCTTCAGCTGTCTTGCTTCCTCAATCTCCTCCTTTGTCCTCTTGACTTTTTTTGAGACCGGATGCTCTCCTTCCTCCTTCTTCACCGCCTGCCAGAGATAAGCACTTAAGATGTGGATCCAAACACTCCGACTGTGACCTGCACTTTCAGAAATCCACTTTGTCTAACGAGTGCTCCAGATGGAAAAAGAGGAGTTTTACCTTTTTAGTTTGCCTTTTTGCCTTCTTGTTCTGACTTCCTTCACTGTCTCCATCATTGCTGTGTTTCTTACTTCTACTTTTCCTGCTGTGAATAAGTATAAAAGTATATGAATGAAGCCATCTGCAGAAAAAGTGTTTATACTAAAGTGTGTAATATGTAACGTTAAAGGTGTGGAACACTTGTTTCTAGTGGTCTCTAGCAGGAATGCCTTGTTAGATGTACTCTGTGTGGTGGAGTTGCTAATGCTAACGGTTAGCTTCTACTATCCGAGATGTTCTGTGCCGTTTCCTGGACTTTAACCCAACAACAGCGTTCCCCGTCGTGAGCCGCGATGGGTGAGTCCATGAATGTTAGTGACAGCGTGGCGTAGATCTGTCAGGATTTTCTATCCTAGAGTTTCACCGTCTGTTTTCTATCAGACACTAATGCAGGAGATAGGTGTAGGAGACTATCTTCTATCAGAAGCTGCTGCAGGAGATAGGTGCAGGAGACTATCTTCTATCAGACGCTAATGCAGGAGATAGGTGTAGGAGACTATCTTCTATCAGACGCTAATGCAGGAGATAGGTGTAGGAGACTATCTTCTATCAGAAGCTGCTGCAGGAGATAGGTGCAGGAGACTATCTTCTATCAGACGCTGCTGCAGGAGATAGGTGTAGGAGACTATCTTCTATCAGATGCTAATGCAGGAGATAGGTGTAGGAGACTATCTTCTATCAGATGCTAATGCAGGAGATAGGTGTAGGAGACTATCTTCTATCAGACGCTAATGCAGGAGATAGGTGTAGGAGACTATCTTCTATCAGACGCTGCTGCAGGAGATAGGTGTAGGAGACTATCTTCTATCAGACGCTAATGCAGGAGATAGGTGTAGGAGACTATCTTCTATCAGATGCTAATGCAGGAGATAGATGTAGGAGACTATCTTCTATCAGATGCTAATGCAGGAGATAGGTGTAAGAGACTATCTTCTATCAGATGCTAATGCAGGAGATAGGTGTAGGAGACTATCTTCTATCAGACGCTAATGCAGGAGATAGGTGTAGGAGACTATCTTCTATCAGACGCTGCTGCAGGAGATAGGTGTAGGAGACTATCTTCTATCAGACGCTGCTGCAGGAGATAGGTGTAAGAGACTATCTTCTATCAGACGCTAATGCAGGAGATAGATGTAGGAGACTATCTTCTATCAGATGCTAATGCAGGAGATAGGTGTAGGAGACTATCTTCTATCAGACGCTGCTGCAGGAGATAGGTGTAGGAGACTATCTTCTATCAGACGCTAATGCAGGAGATAGGTGTAGGAGACTATCTTCTATCAGATGCTAATGCAGGAGATAGGTGTAGGAGACTATCTTCTATCAGATGCTAATGCAGGAGATAGGTGTAGGAGACTATCTTCTATCAGATGCTAATGCAGGAGATAGGTGTAGGAGACTATCTTCTATCAGATGCTAATGCAGGAGATAGGTGTAGGAGACTATCTTCTATCAGATGCTAATGCAGGAGATAGGTGTAGGAGACTATCTTCTATCAGACGCTAATGCAGGAGATAGGTGTAGGAGACTATCTTCTATCAGACGCTAATGCAGGAGATAGGTGTAGGAGACTATCTTCTATCAGACGCTAATGCAGGAGATAGGTGTAGGAGACTATCTTCTATCAGACGCTAATGCAGGAGATAGGTGTAGGAGACTATCTTCTATCAGACGCTAATGCAGGAGATAGGTGTAGGAGACTATCTTCTATCAGACGCTAATGCAGGAGATAGGTGTAGGAGACTATCTTCTATCAGACGCTAATGCAGGAGATAGGTGTAGGAGACTATCTTCTATCAGACGCTAATGCAGGAGATAGGTGTAGGAGACTATCTTCTATCAGACGCTAATGCAGGAGATAGGTGTAGGAGACTATCTTCTATCAGACGCTAATGCAGGAGATAGGTGTAGGAGACTATCTTCTATCAGACGCTAATGCAGGAGATAGGTGTAGGAGACTATCTTCTATCAGACGCTAATGCAGGAGATAGGTGTAGGAGACTATCTTCTATCAGACGCTAATGCAGGAGATAGGTGTAGTAGACTATCTTCTATCAGACGCTAATGCAGGAGATAGGTGTAGGAGACTATCTTCTATCAGACGCTAATGCAGGAGATAGGTGTAGGAGACTATCTTCTATCAGACGCTAATGCAGGAGATAGGTGTAGGAGACTATCTTCTATCAGACGCTAATGCAGGAGATAGGTGTAGGAGACTATCTTCTATCAGACGCTAATGCAGGAGATAGGTGTAGGAGACTATCTTCTATCAGACGCTAATGCAGGAGATAGGTGTAGGAGACTATCTTCTATCAGACGCTAATGCAGCAGACTGATTGTAATCAGAAATAATCAGTAACAATGTTCCACACCTTTCATTTTCAGGCTGCTAACCTGCTGGGACTTACATCGGAGTCTCTTCCAACAGTTCATCTTTAATCCTTTTTCTTTTCACACCTGCAGAGTTTGAAGTGAAGTCGTCCTCTTCTGGCTCCGGTTTCAATGATCCACTAAATCACACAAAGATTAGCCTCTTCTGGTCAAATGTGCATTTATGTTACGAGTAAAAATGTTCCTTTCATTGTTTATAAAGCAGCTTTAGCCTCGACGTTTTGGAAAGATGGCAGCTAGACTTTTAAAATCCAGTTTCACGTTAGAACGGTAACATTTTATTATCCGACTCCTTTGAGACCCTGAATAAATATTGTAAAACAAACATTTTAGGTTTGCATGTTTTTCTTTTTTTTATCTGACTTGATTATTTAATTTTAAATGAGCCCAGAGTTAAAAAGCTAATAATCAGGCGTATGGAAGAGACTTAATGGGTCTTTTATTATGGCTGCTAGCTGAGTGGCGGCTCAGAGTAGGGCTAAAAATGATGCTTCTACGTGGAACAACAGTTTACTGACCACAAGTAATCCGTCATGATTGTGGTAATAAGAAACGGTATTAAACAGTAATGATAATGACACAATTACAGCATCTAGGAAGCATCGGGAAGAATTAAAACACAATTATAAAACTGCAAGCTCGGGTTTCCCCTGCAGAAAGAGCTCAGTGGGAAGGAAAATGGACTAAATGAAGAAATCAGACACTAATGCCAATAAATAGCTGAGTTTTGATTTTTTTTCTAACTCATTAAAACCCTCGAGCAGGGGCCCGAACCCTGGAGGACCTCTGCCCCGCGGGGTTTAGTCGTTTCCTGCTGCAACACACCGGATTCATGGACTGGACCTTGTTAGCTGCTCCTCTACATGTAATGAGTAAAACATGTTTAGCCACTGATTACAAAGGCCGTAGGGCATATTTGTAACGTAAGCTTTGGCAAAAGCTGAATAGTTTTACTGGATCTAAATGAAAAGCACCCTAACCACTGCGGAGTCATGAGCCCAAGATGTTTATGTTTAGCAGACGCTGTTGTCCAAAGCCACTTACAAGTCCCTTTGTGTTACAAAGTGACCCTGGCGGCTTCAGACCGAATGATCAGATTTTCCGCTCCGTGACTCCGTCCGGTCTTAGGGTTAGCTACACGAGGTGTATGAGCTACGGCATTAAACTGAATCATTAGATCCTGGTTTTGCAGTGGTAGAAAACTGCCTGCCGTATGTGCAGAAGGCATCATGCCTGATCTTTTCAACCACACTAAAATATAAATTAAAAATCCCGGCTGAAGCAGTTTTCTTCCTCGGCATGTCGAACTGAAGCCCCACACACAAACTCGGTTTAGCTGCAGACCGCCCGGCCTCACACGGCACAAAGCAGAGCAGTCTTTGGTAAGAGGTCCACCGTCAGCAGCTACTGCTGTTCCCTCACACCCATGCTTTACGGAGACACGAGCCCCATTAGACATTATGTACACTGGCAACACAGACCCACATCGACTAGATTAGTTACAGCAGCTTCCCTTTGCATACGGTTTGGCTCATCAGCTCCCATCAGGCGCCGCTGGACTTCTAATGTGACGACTAAATGCAGAAGCTCCACTTCCAGCCAGCAAATGTCAGTGTGCCACAATCACATCCCTTCCAGGGGTAATTACAAACACGTCAATAGTCTTAACCTTGGAGAAGTCCAAATGCTCTTCTCTATAAAGACGCAGAAGTATTCATCCAACGCTCCCAAAGTCGTTAAAGTTACAGATTTTTATGTATTTCAGGACAAAAGAAGAGGATCTGCTGCAACGTGTCACTTATTTCCTGATGAAGTGCACCATGGACTAAAATCTACAAAACGCTATACAAAGCAGGGCGGGTCAATGGTTCCATTGACATTTACGGTTTGTGCTTCTAATAGCCTTGTGTTTCTTCACCAGCTCAGCAGCACCCCTCTCTGCAGCTCCAGCCGACCAGCACCGCTACCAGTCCGAGTCATTAAGCAGGAGGAGGCCTGACGGGCAACATTAACAGACACAACTTTAACAGAGCAGTGTTTTCAGCTGGCATATCCTTGGAAATGTCACTTTCACATTGGGTTAAATCTACATCTGGGAAATAATCCATGATCAGCTGTCCAGAAGCACCGCTGTGAGACAGATTTAACGCAGCAGGTCTGCGGCCGGAGTCTGCCATCGAGGAAACTTCCTGCTGGGCATCCATGCTTCCTCGTTTGTTACCTTCACCACAATAACGATATTTGTCTTCAGTGCAAAGACACATTAATTATCTGAGACGGCTTAGCGCGTTAATGCCTCTGTCTGAGGCCCCTTGGCTTCAAAACTCTGGAATCCATTTCCATCGCCTCAGGAGGGAAAGAAAACACACAAGACTGTTGGCAAACTGCAACCTAATCTTTTGTCAGCTTATTGTTGCAGCCGCTGATAGCATAGCATCAGCAGGCATCAGGAACCACATCCTACCTGGTGCTGATAAGTGGCTCCTGGGTCTTCAGTGTCCTGACCTACAGAACAAGGAGGACAACACATTAACGAGCGGAGGACAACCACACGGGTCTGTATTTGGGCCTGAGAAAACAAAACATTCAGTCTAATGTAATTATTGTAATAGTTTAACTCATGAAGCACAAAACGTTCAGTTATTTTAGGCCTTTAAGAGAAGCTGAAAGCATTTTACATCCTCTCATTGGTCTCCAGCTTCTCCAGAGTTAACATCTCGGCCCATTTTAGAAATGTTGCATTAATCTGACAGGAATGAGAATCAGTGTTGGTGGTGGGTGGGGCTGGCCTCAGATCAGCTGTTCAGAATCATACAGACGCTCTTGTTTCATGGTGTTCTGGTTGTGGAAGGATGATGAAAACAGAAAAACATGCTTTGTATGGTTTAAGCTGCAGCTCTTCCCATTCACTGCTGTTTAGTGCTGAGAAACAATTCATGAAGCAGCTGTGAGCTAACATTGTAGTGTTTTACCTTCCCTGGAGACTCGGATCTATCCCTCTGCTGTTGGGAGTTGGTTGTCTTCGAGCTGCTGAGCAGTAGAGACAAGATGGGAAGCCATAAAGGATTAGATTTACAAAACATTCTATTAAATAAACTCAAGCTAAAAGGAAATTTTCACCATTTTCTAACTAAATAATAAAATGAAACAGCAACAGGGCTGCCTCTCAGCTTTCTTCCAGGTTTTCCTCACAAACGTTGGTGCAAATGCCCTTCAGGTGGGCGAATCACTCCAGGATGTCTTTAGATAAAGAGCGCCACGATCTACCTTAAACAAACTCTGGTAATATTAGACTGAAACACAAACATCACACCGGAGAAAGAGATCATGACACGCAGCAGCTGATAAGTGATTCCAAGATGATGGATCCAGGAGCCATGCTGAACAACTGAACTCGGTGCAGACATCTACACCAGTTCACTCTGAGACATCCTATAATTTATGTCAAAAGCTTTATGAGACATCTGTGCTGTCAAAGAATGTCAGTCCAAGGTCTAAAGTATGGGTTTTTAATATGCATGTGTTGGTTTGAGTTTGCTTCTTTGGTCTGACCCGAAACCAGAATTACAATTATGACTTTTGCTGTAGGGCATTACCAATAAAAACCTATCCAGCTAGTCAAAGAAAAAGGAAAAGTAACAAGCAGGGTTTGTCATTTATCCAAGCTCCATGGCACATATCTAGAGTTTATCCTCCAGAGACACCTGAAGTAAAAGTCGATCATAAAATCGGGTTTCTGTCCTAAGAAGGAATGCCAAACGTGAGCTTCTTTTGGATTGGTACAAAGTGTAGTATAAGAATAAAAGAAGTCCCATAAGATTTATACATTTCACATGCTTTGGTCTTTTTCTATGGCTGCTCTAATCCCCGCAGCTGCAGAGACACAAGTCGTGCGGATACTCGAGCTACAAGTGACGACTTACAGGTAACGTGAGTGGATCTTAGATTCATGTCTCTGCCTTGTTAGGATGAATTTAGTCTGGCAGTTTTGTAAAATGTAAAAACACCAAACGCCATCAAACACGTTCCGTTTTAGTCTGACCTTTCCATCCTTTGGAACTGGATTCATCATGGCCAACAATCACTCCCCAGTTGTATTTGTTCTTTCATTTTGATTCCAAAGTGTGCTTGTCTGACTAAGGCAATGGAACAGTTACAGAAACAGGCACGTGCTCAGGAAAATTAGTTCCCTGAGCTAATCCTTATTCACTAATTCAGTCAGTGTGCCATTATGAGGCTAGCTGTCACAGAAAGCTCTCCTCCTGCTAGCAGTGCTTACAGGTGTTGATTCATCTCCCTGCGCTCATCAGTTACACAGGCCAATGACAGATCACTCCAAATTCATTTGTCTGCTCACATATGCATGGCAATAAACGCATCTGATATCAAAGTAAATTAATTCATTCATATGAAGATGGAGTATCCTCTGTACTCTGAAACGAGTGAATGCACTCAGTGCCACCAGCCGGACAGACAGCTCAGCTGGTGAAGCCGACAGCTCTGTTACAGTTGGTGTTTCTTACATTTGGTCCCCGTATTTTTATCAGTGATTCGTGCATGTATCACACACACACACACACACACACACACACACACACACACACACACACACACACACACACACACACACACACACACACACACACACACACACACACACACACAGAGCAAATTTGTTTCCACATTTCAACAGCATGAAAGGCAATTTTCCATTCAAAACTAGCTTTGATGTTTGCTCATGTCTATAGTGAACAGATGCTGGATGTGCTGCAGCAAGATCATAAGCATACATTAGCAGGGATGCTCCTGCACTTCAAATATGTGAGGACTCGATGTTCTGATATTAGAGAATAATGGTAAAAATTACGTTAAAAAATATTGTTTTGTTCCCAATCACTCATTTTCATTGCCTCACAAGCACACCATCCACCTGCTTTTGTTGGGATCTCCTCCGGCACCTGAATGCAGCCTTTTCAGCTTCACTTCCTTCTTGTGTTTGGTCCTCATGTCTCCTCCATCAGGGTCCTTCCCTTTCTCCATTTCTCAAGAAAACAAAGCGCATTAAATTAAGAGCAAAAAATAAAACAATCCTTGAAAACATTGGTTTTCCACATTAACAAGTTAGCTAACAAGTTTAATTTGCAAGGGAAGACAGGAAGCATGAGTTAGCTTGAAGCAATAAGCTAATTATCGTTTTTGGCAACAATTCAATTCTAGATCACATGCTAGCTCACCGGGTTTTATGTCCGAAACGGACAAAATGAGTAAATTTTGTGTAAAAAACAAAACAAAAAACGAGCAGTACTTTGACAAACTTGGCAGTTAGCTTGAAAGTACGCCGCTAATCTAGCAGGACTTCTCTCTGCAGCCGGCGAACGCGCGTGAAGAATTCTGATTGGACAAAGGAGCTTCACGCGATTTAACCGCCCGGTGTTTTACTAAAATATGTGACCATCGACATAACGACCCGTCTGTCTAGTTGTTTGCTTTATTTTGCTTTTAGCCAATCCAATTTTATTTATAAAGCGCATTCACAAGGCATTACAACCAGACAAGGCGCTGTACACTAAAAAATATTTTACCGCCTGCCAGCGTTTCCTTAAAATCTCTTTCCGAAAATTGTCACTTGTTTATGGAAGCCCATTCCCGCCACTCAGATGAAAAAAATATTATCTCATAATTTTGAGATAATATTTTTTTATCTGAGTGGCAGGAACAGGCTTCCATACCCGTTGAATAATTAAAATCTGTTAAATTTAGAGTGGAAATTTATTCAGCACTTTCTATTCAGAATTTATTTTTGTGCTCATTTCATCATATGCTCCCTACCCACTGTTTTTATTTGAACTTCCTCTAATAACATTAGTAATAAAAAACAACCAGGACCAAAACCAGATTTGTTGGCCAAATCTGTGCCGCACACAGAAAACGTGTCAATAAAAAGGACTGCAGCCTGAGCGGGATTCCATTTTTCCGTCCATTTAATTTATTTAGTTGCTTTTTATCTTTAGCTGACAGAGGAACTAGCGCAATTAAATAGTGATAATTGCTCAAAAGTCTTAGTTATTACCATCCAAGGATATTAAACAGACATAAAAAGAGACAAACTTTCAAAACTATTTAGGAACAATGTTTTTTAGGAACTGGGTCTTTAGCAGTTATTTAAAAAAAGTTTTGTTTGTTTCCTGCAATATTTCTCCTTATGATTATTATTAATGACAAATATTTTTCTTGAGTGAAATGTTTATAAAAGTTTCTGAGTACATAAAACTACAGTAGACAAAAATATATTAACACAAAGAAGTCAAATAAAAAAAATGTATTTTTTCCTTAACAAAGCTCCTCTGTCTATCAAGAACAACAATCATTTAGCTAAAAGTTAAATAAAAACGAACGGATGGGAACAATGATATTTTTGCAGTGATTATAAAAGACGAGGAACCTAACCCTACTTTCTTTTGTCCCAAAAGGACAAAAGCAAAGCTTGGGATATTTTTTCAGCTTCTACAGCTCTCACCCTGGATTCTCATGTCAGTTCTCTTGTTCTCTCTTCCTTCTTCCATCTCAGGAACGTTGCTAAGCTGAGTCCCATTCTGTCCCGCTCTGAACTTGAGACAGTTCTCCACACCTTCATCTCCTCACGCTTAGACTACTGCAACTTACTTTCACTTGCCTGAGCAAATACCAAATCGTCAAAGTACACCCACATCACCCCGCTTCTCCTCCAGCTTCACTGGCTGCCAGTCAACTTCAGGGTTCATTTCAAGATCCTGGTTCTGGTCTATAGGGCCTTACATGGACAAGCACCATCTTCCATTGGTGATCTTCTTAGTCCCTACACCCCCAGCAGGTCCCTGAGGTCCAGTGGTCAAAGCCTACTGGTTGTGCAGCACCAGACTAAAGGTCAAAGGTGACAGATCATCTGCTGCTGTGGCCCCCAGACTCTGGACCTCTCTCCCCCTGAGCCTGAGATCAGTGGACTCAGTGGTCTCCTTTAAAAAGCAGCTGAAGACTCACCTGTTCAAGCTGGTTTTGAGTGACCATTGTCACCACCCTCTCCTTATTCTGCTCTTTCTACCTATTCCGCCTTTCCTGGGATCGTCTGATTTCCTTCTATCCTCTTAATTTTCTCTTTGTTGTTCCTTACATTTTTATCACAATAGTTTATTTTTTTTTCATTTAAAACATATTTTAATAACAAAACAATTTTTTTTACATTTTTAGTTTTTGTGAAGCCTTTCATGATTTTTATTTTGAGGCGCTAGATAAAAGATCGTTTTCTTTCTTTCTTTTATGTGAAGTTCTAACTTTTCACCACTAGATCCCTCATCATGGTTTACATGGTGTGTGTGGGTGGGAGTTGATGTGCGCGTGTGTCTGCTTGGTCTTCTTGAGCCCCAGTGAGTCATGGTGGATGGCTGCTTATACTGATCCAGGATCCTCTGGGGTTTCTTCCTGTGAAAAGGGAGTTTTCCTCTCCACTGTCGCCGCATGCTTGCTTAGTATGAGGATGGCTGTAAAGACGCTGACACAGCGACTCGATGCAACCTGCTGGGTTTCTTTTATGGGTAAGCCTTTTACTGGTTGGCTTAATGAACTCAACTGTATTGGAATGGTTACTATGTTAAGTACCTTGAGACGGCTCTTGTCGTGATTTGGCGCTATTTAAATAAATAAACATAACTGAATCACTCTTATTGGAACAAAAGTGTAGTTCAAGCTTCTTTCTACCGGAGAACGCCAAATCCACAAATCCCCCTTCCATTCGAAGTTGTTTACCGGAACCAGAGTGTAGTTCTAGCTTGTCAACCCTAGAGGGCGTACATGCCTCTCCTCGTTAACAAAAAGTCTGTTAAAGCTCTGAGTTTGTAGTGCTCTAACTAAGATGACTTAGCACCATAACTCCATAACGTGTTTAATACTGTTGCAAAATTACAATTTCAATTGTATTTTAGGCTGAATAATAAGAAAAGTAACATTGGCAGAAGACGCAGCAGCAGAAGAAGCGCGCTGTTTCTTTAAGAAACCCGGAAGTGATTCAACCTGGTGTCATGTTCCTGCTAGCTTGCACGTTTCTAAACACACAGCTGAGGATGCTTCCTGCCATGATATCCAACTCCATCATCTTGGCAGTCCGAGGCAGTGTGAGGTGCTGGCGAACCCGTTCTCTCCTGAGAGTGTCTCTAGAAGCCTCGAGCGTCCGCTGCTGGCGCCGGTACTCTCACCCGACTCGCCGCAGAGTCCCGGACATGGAGGAGGTCCTGGCGAGAGTTGTCGTTCCTTTGCCTTCATACGAAACGAGAGAGAAATCCCCGCCTCCGCCCGAATCAGTCAGCCTCGAGTTGATGCACTACTACAGGGGTCTGGAAAAGGAAGATAAAGTAGAGTTCTTAACAAAACTGTCTCAAGAATACGGCGTGGACCACAAAGCCGTCTCCGAGCTCTCCGCCAAGCTGCTGGACACTCAGCTGCGGGACTTGGCGACTATCTTGCAAGTCGAAGACAGGCTCCGGTACAGTCTGACTCCCCGATATAAACAGTTGCTCAGCCATACAAGCAGGACTGAAGGCGGCGTGAAGTTCCTGGTGGATCTTCGTGCTGATGTGCTAGAAATGATCTCATCCAAAGCTAGCGAAAGCGCGCACATCAGGGTAATTCATTTGTTTACTTTTTCTACGGATGCTCGCATGGTTCAAATGCTTGTCACACGCGTTTACTGCACAATTACCCGAGAAGCATATTGTTTGTGATGACAAGAGTCAGCTGCTGAGCATAACTGATTACGTAACTAACCTTTCACACTGTAGCCCCTGCTACTCCAGTCACGTGGTTCATGTTTCCGTGCAGCCGCCTGGGACTGACCTTTACCCTCGTTTACATTTCCCGCTAAACACGATGCATGCGGTGAATAAAAGATATATGTAGTAAAAATGTCTTCAAATTTTTTATTTTAAATCAATGATTTGATTAATTTTATTATTATTATTACTGTTATTATTATTATTACTATTATTATTATTGTGAAAGGGTAATAAATAAAATAAATCTGCATTTTATTCTAATAGTAGTTACTAAATTGCAGATCCAGGCTCAGATTAGACTTTTACATTTTTAAACCTTCAAAACTACTAATTACATTTCTGAAATAAACAGAAAAAAACCTAAAAATACAATAAAAATGAACAAAAGGAAAACAAACTAAAAAGTTGGTGGGGTCATCATTTAAATATTTTTACCAAATACTTGACTTTGTTTGCAGAAATGTTGCCTCAAATTAGTGAGAAGCCCACATCTTGCACCAGAATGGCGCTCATTGTTGTCACACTATCCAGATCTATGGTGAGCAAACTTGCCCACTGCAGGCAGTTATTACAGATTTAGCTTCATCAGTCCAGAGCCCCTGCTGCCATTTTTCTGCACTTCTCTTTGGCTGAACCGGGCTGAACACACCCACACGAGGCACCGATCAAGGCTGTCTTCCAGTGTTGCTGGACAGCCTCGTGTTCAAATAAATAAATACAACCCTTCAAACTAGTTTGATTCAACACACGAGGACGCAAGAACCACTCTGCTGTTGCTGCAGATTGAAAAAGCTGAATATAAATCAGGCATGCAACGAGTATTTTGAATTAAGCTTTTGAAGACGTAGTGGAAAAAATCTAGAAAAGGAATTGGAAATGGGAAAAGTATGTTTGTATCCCAGCTGGAGACATGACTTATGTGGCTTTTCCTCCTTATCTAACAGAAAAGTCAGTTTCTTGCACCTCATTGTTCAGTTAAATAATTCTAGTTTACATTTCAGCCTACCAGCGAGAGTTTAGCGTTTGACTGAGTTTGGGATCCTGGATCCGATTCTAAGCCGGGCCATGATCCATAACTTTTTAGGGTTCCCGCTGACGTGTGAGGACTGTGCTGAAGCAAGGTTAGGACCATCTTCTCTGGCCTGTTCCAGATCTCCACCACGTTAGCCTCAGCCTGCTAGCTAGCTGACAAATGTCACCTCTGATCTGACCCTGGAACTGATCGTCTGGGTCAAATATTTAGCTTCTTGACAGTTTCATGGTCTGGTGTGGTCATGTTGAGAAGCATGTTTCCTTTAGAAAAACATCTGCACATGTTTGATGTGTTTTAAAGTTTCTGAGAGACCCCCGCTGTTCTTACACTACAGCTGTTCTCGTTTTCACCTCTTTTGCTCAATTTCATGAACTTTTTTCCTGCTGAGAGGAGTTCAATCCATTTAATCTCAATAGCTCAATACCCACTGAGAGCTTGTGAAGCTTGTAAAGGTCCAGGCTGCTGTAGCTACACGTGCATACCACCTTGGTCTTGGCGGTGCCCTTTTAATTGAAGCTTTTTAGTTGCTATTGCCAGAATTGATTGAGCTAAAATGAGGAAAGGTCATGTTAAATATTACACTTTTAGTGCCAGAAATGAAGACTTGTGCATGCTGGCTGGAGGGGAAGGGGCCGACAACCAAAGCGCAGACTCTCATCAGAGATGGAGAGAGTTTAAAAACGGAGGATTTCTAAATGTATCAAAGAGAGAAAAGCAGAGGTCTGCCGTTTTCGTGCTTCTTGCAGGAATGTCGCTTAGACTTTAGCGGTAGATTAGTCTCTCATGGGCAGGTAATTTATTTTTGCTGTTTCTTTTATCTCTGCCTACCTTCAGGCCTTTCGTTCTTTTTCACCTCGAACGGAGAGGATGAAAGATATTAAGTCAGGTGCCATTTTTTTAGTTGGCTCCTCAGGGTTACACAAAGCTTCTGTGACTATTTCCCCCACAGAGCAGAGCCAGCCAGCTGACAGTTGGCATGCAGCCTAGAGGAAAGGCATGCTGTCCCTCGGTCTCCTGGAAGCCATTGGCCAGTTGGTCTTATGTTGGCATGAAGGTCCTTCCAAGTCCTGTGGCATCAAACTTTCCATTATCCCACAATAACTGGAGCTCAGGGTAAAGAAGGTCCTGATCTCAGGGGTCGCATCGGCTCCCAGCGTCAGCGTCTGATACAGCCACGGTGTCTGAAGGTGCTGCTTCCTTCCTTTTCTAGTCGAGTGCAGGATTTTCTTTTTTTAGGCTTCCCATTCTCCCTCCGCTCTCTTCCCAGCCTGCGGCTGTGATCCTTCCATTTGTAAAGACTTCATCTTCTCCGAGGTCAAAGAAATACATATCACAGTTTGACCCTGATCTTTTGTGTGGCTGAGAGTCGGCGTCTGAAGGCTGCAGCTGCTCTATTCTGGTGGTGGAGGCTGCATGGGATTATCAACCATAACAGATTATTTCACCTCAGGTGACACACGCACACACACACGCGCACACCGTCTCATCGGAAGTAACAAAGGTTTAGCTTTAACTTAATTTTTTCCCCTGAGGGTCGCTTTTGATTTGCTGTTTTTGGAAATCTGTTCCCCGGAAGTTCCTAAAGCCTCAGTGGAGCTGCAGAAATCAGCCTGAAGCGTAAACCCAGGCTGGAGTTCCCGACTCAGTTGGATGGGACAAACTTCCACTTGCTTTTCTATCCCGACCATCGTTGCGTTTGTTTATATATTAGCTAATATGATTGACAAGCCAGTATTAAAGTAGGCCTGATGGAGCCGTGTTCGGGGTTTGTGCGCCGCGCTCACTTGTTTGTGTGTTTGCAGGAGATTTCCTCTAAATGAAGTGTGACCTTTGCTGGAGGACAGGCCTGCTTTCAAATGGCGAGGTGTTTATTGAAGCGGTCCTTTGACGCCCCGTTGCAAGCTCCTGCAAATCACCATTCATAATGTGTAAACATTCAAACGGCATGCAGGCGGCTGGGAGACGGCGCCGTGTGAGATAAGCATATGGAGATGTTCTCTTCACCATCGCTCACTACCTCAGTGCGCTTGAGCTCTTTCACCAAGGCTGTGGTTTCTATAGAAACACAAGACATATGTGGAGCTTTTATTTATGTGAAGAGAAAACTTCATTCGTTGGTCTTACTTCCTTTTCTCCCTCATCACCAGTATCTGAGGATCACCTGAGTCGGGAAGGCAGCTGCTGCTATAAAACACAAAGCATGCTGGGAATTTTTGATTATCAGCTGGATGTGGATGTGTTTCTGAAAGCTGGCCCCTCTTCCTCCCACAGGAGCTGAACGCTACGCTGAAGGGCTTGCTGTCTGAGTGGTTCTCTGTCGGTCTGCTTCGACTTGAAAGAATCACCTGGCAGTCGCCCTGCGAGATCCTGCAGAAAATCAGCCAGTAAGGTCTTTTATTTCCTTAATAATGGCTTTAATATCAGGCAGAAGCTTTCTGCGCTCATTTAATGCAATAAATCACATGTAAACTTGGTTTGCTACAATAAACGTGCCTCGGTTTTTATCTAGACTGGTGCTAAGGACCGACACCAACGATAAACCTTTGAAAATGTAGTCCCCAGACAAATCACATAACTCTCTCTTTGCTGAAAGAAACTCAAACTTTCTTCAAAAAATGGATTGAAAACGTAAATAATCCCGATTTCTACTTTTATTGTATTTTATATTTTTTATATATTTTTTATATTAGTGCAGTTTTAAACCAAAGCTGCCAAAACGAGCAGTTTTAATAAATGCTGACTGTAATTATTCAAACAGCAGCTGTCAAACGAATGTTGGAAGGTTGAAAAATAATCCAGGAATAAGATTTTTACATTAAAAACCAATCCTTTTCAGAAGCTTCAATACATTTCTACATTTGGCCAAATCTTTAAATATGATTCCTCATTACTTCTGGATTCAGTTAGTCTTTGCTGATTGGTCTAATAGACTAATTAGGTGGTCTGATGTATCGGTCGGCCGATACATCGGGGCAATATTAATCGTTTTTATACATTGACCGATATTTGTTCTTAGTAAAGCTAATTTAAGGTCAGATGCAGCCCGGTGTTGCAGAAGTGAATTTAAATGTATTTTTACATTCACTAATAACATCTGCAGAATACTGTAAATACTCTAAATCAGGCCATCAGCCTGGCGCCACGCGGCCCTTTCTCTAAATAGCACAAGTCTAACATAAAATCACAAATGCGTTAATATAGATTTAAAATCGACAGTTTCTATACAAATCCATTTAAAATATGTTTATTATGAATGTAGTTTAATTAAACTGATCTTTTCTAGTTGAAAGGTCAGTCTGGTGTCCACCTGGTAGCCCTTTATGTGGCTCTCAGCTCCACAAAGGTTGTGACCTCTGCTCAAATCTAACTTTATTTAGGTGTTAGACGTTAACACTGAACAGAGAACAAAGTTAAGATCAACAGTTGGTTAAATTCAGACTTCAAAACTGATGCGGCTTCAGGAACTTTGTGCATCAACTGATGTTGTTAATGACATTTCAGCATAAAATGAGGTGGAAAGGTCCTGATATATGGGCTGACCACGTCGCCTACACGTCGGCGTCAGTATCAGCAACAGAAACACCGATATCGGTGGACCTCTGGTTGTAATCTCAGCTTAATCAGGGCTTCACTTTGTTTACAAGGAGCCTGGATTTTGAGGGTAAAGAGGAGATCTATCTGCTCGTCTCTTATTGAACGAGTCTGGTGGAGGTGGCTGAAGCCTGCTACGAGTGGATCACGCACCAACATGAATGAGTGAAATACTAAACTTGGAGTCAAGTAGACAACTTTATCTGTTTAAGTGATGAAGAAATAATGAAGGAAAAGCACACACCTGTCCTCACAGCTTCTGTCTCAGTGGTCCAACAACTCGATTAGATATCCGCGTTTCCACAAAAACTGCAATTAGCCGAACTTCAGCTCGACCACCTGAGCCACAGACACGCCGCCTATCTAGATGTGCGCCAGATTTGAGTCCATTTTATTTCAAACTGCTGTTTAAAGGGGATTTTAGAACGCATTTGTCCGTCTATTGCTCCATTACGACTCGAGTCTTAAGGGTTTGATTATAAATGTAATTTAGCAGAAATATCTGAGTGGCTTGATCTTGTCCTTCCAAGAAACAA